GTTAACACCTTCCCAGATAAACAAAAGCTGAAGGAGTTTGTGACAACTAGACCTGCCCTACAAAAACTGCTAAAGGAAGTCCAGCAGGGTGGAACGAAAGGACACTAGACAGTACTAAGAAACCACATGAAGAAATAAGTATCTCAGTAAAGACAAATACATGGACAATCATAAAAGCTAGTATTATTGTAACAATAGCTTGTAACTCCACTTTTTGTTCTCTATATGATTTAAGGGTCTAATGCGTTTTCAAAACTATTAAAGTGAAAGCTAGTGTCATCTTAACTTTGTTTTGTTTTCTACATAATTTAAGAGACTAATGCATTTAAAATAATTATTGGTTTATAGTTTTGGACATAGACTGTATAAAGGTGTAATTCTGTAATGTCAACACCTGCACCCAGGCAATCGCTGATCTTTTTTCTGTCTTTTATACTTCCATCCTTCCTAGAAATTACAAATAAATGAAACTACATTATATAGTTTTCTCTAACTGGTTTCTTCCTCTTAGCATGATTTTCTTTTTAGGTTTATGCATGTAGATGCACGTATCAGTACTGCATTTCTTTTTATTGCTAAACAGTATTCCGTTGTATGGATATACCACATTTATTTTTCTACTCACCATTTGATGTACATTATTCTCCCAGGTGTGTGGTGGTGTACCACTGTGATTTTAGTTTGTATTTTTCTAATGATTAATGATGTTAAACATCTTTTCATGGACTTATTTGCCATTCATATAACTTCTTTGTAAAAGAGTCTACGCCAAATCTTCTATTTTTTTTTAATTCGGTTGTTTGGCTCATTTTTTAATTCTAAGAATTATTTATACATTATAGATTCAAGTCCTTTATTGGACATGTATCTCTGAATACGTTCTGCCATTTGTTATACTGTTTTATAATATTCTTGATGGTGTTTTTAAGAGCAGTTATTTTGCATATATTTTAAATTCACTATAATAGAAATTTTAAATGTGTTTTCAAAGAGTAGTGAATAAAGAGAAGAAATAGTCACAACATAATATGAAATTTTAAAAAGTAAAATTCAAACGACATTTCCAGTATGACTCTAATTATGTAGGGTATATACTACAAGTATGGATATGTATAAACATACACACATATACACTTGGAATGGAATATATTAAAATATTAAAAGTGGTTATTGCGGGATTACAGGAAATTTTTATTCTTTTATTTATTTATTTTTTCTTCTTTTATTTTTTAAAACTTCTTCAAATTCTTACCAATGTTAAGTCAGCACTCTCTGAAAATAACTAGAATACACTGCTTAAAGATCAAACCAGTTCATCATTAGCTATACTCAGGACTTCTGAAATAGTCAAGATCCAAGTAACACCTGAAGGTAAAGGAATAAAGATATGAATATTGTATTTACCAAAAAAATAATAAAAATATTATTCATACAAGGTATGATTCTGGCTTTAAAGCAAAAGCTTAGATCTCTCCTACACACACATCACTCCAAAACAGCACAGTCCAACAAAGCTTGACAGAAATACTACAGCAATGATGGAAAGGTTCTTTCTGTTACCTGATACAGTAGCCACTGACCATGGTACAGTAGTGGCTGTGGAGCATGGCAAGTGTGGGTAGTGACTATACTGACACTGACATTGAAATGTGACTGAGAAACTGAGTTTTTAATTTAATTTTAATTCAAATAGGCACACATGGCTAGTGGCTTCCACACTGGGGAGCACGACTTTAGGGGGAAAACAAACAAACCAACCAGATTCCTGGCTCTACTGACCATTTTCCTTCTCCTTCCATTCATTCAGTAATTTACAGAAATTCAATATCCTCTCATCTCTCCCTAGACAGTCACCAAATTAACTTCAAAAAAAGATCATACATTAAGCTTTTTGTACTTTCCCTTGAGGATAAGAACAAATGAAAAGTACTGGTTACTTGGGATTCGTCCCAAGTTCACAAAAATGGTTCAACATATGCAAATCAATCAATGTGATACACCACATAAAATAAAGACAAAAAACAAGTAATCATCTCAATAGATACAGAAAAAGCATTGGACAAAATTCAACATCCATTCATGATAAAAACTTACCAAAATGGGTATAGATGGAACATATCTCAACATAATAAAAGCTATTTATGACAAACCCACAGCCAATATACTACTCAATGGTGAAAAGCTTAAGGCCTTCCCACTAAAATCTGGAATAAGACAAGGATGCCCACTCTCGCCTCTTCTATTCAACATAGAATCTGAAGTCCTAGCCACAGCAATCAGACAAGAAAAAGAAATAGAACGTATCCAAATTGGAAGGAAAGAGGTAAAACTGTCATTATATGCAGATGACATGATACTATTATATATATAGAAAACCCTAAAGACGCCACACAAAAACTACTAGAACTGATAAACAAATCCAGCAAGGAAGCAGGATACAAGATTAACATACAGAAATTGGTTGCATTTCTTTACACTAACAGTGAAATATCAGAAAGGGAATGTAAAAACAACAGTATCTTTTAAAAATCACACTCCCCAAAATAAAATGCTTAGGAATAAACCTGACCAAGGAGGTGAAAGACTTATACACTGAGAACTATAGAACATTAATAAAGTAAACTGAAGATGAATCAAAGAAATGGAAAGATATCCCAGGACCCTGAATTGGAAGAATATCGTTAAAATGGCCATACTACCCAAAGCAATCTACAGATTTAATGGGATCCCTATCAAATTACTCATGATATTTTTCACAGAACTAGAACAAATAATCCTAAAATTTATATGGAACCATAAAAGACCCAGAGAATTGCCAAAGCAATCCTGAAGAAAAAGAACAAAGCAGGAGGCATAACCCTCCCAGACTTCAGACACCACAACAAAAGCTACAGTAATCAAAATGGTGTGGTATTGGCACAAAAACAGACACATGGATCAACAGAACAGAATAGAGAGCCCAGAAATAAACCCACACACCTACAGCCAATTAATCTTTGACAAAGAAGGCAAGAATATACAATGGAAAAAAGAAGATCCTTCAGCCAGTGGTGTCGGGAAAGTTGGACAGCCGGATGTCAATCAATGAAGTTAGAACACACCCTCACACCATACACAAAAATAAACTCAAAATGGCTTAAGGACTTAAACATAAGACATGACACCACAAAACTCCTAGAAGAGATCACAGGCCAAACATTCTCTGACATAAATCATAGCAATGTTTCCTTAGGTCAGTCTCCTAAGGCAATAGAAATAAAAAATGGGACCTAATCAAACTTACAAGCTTTTGCACAGCAAGGGAAACCATAAACAAAACGAAAAGACAACCTACAGAATGGGAGATGTTTGCAAACTATGCGACCGACAAGGGCTTAATTTCCAAAATATACAAACAGCTCATACAGCTCAACAACAACAACAACAACAAAGACAGCCCAATCAAAAAATGAGCAGAAGACCTAAATAGACATTTCTCCAAAGAAGAAACACAGACGGCCAATAAGCACAGAAAAAGATGTTCAATGTCACTAATTATTAGAGAAATGCAAATCAAAACTACAATGAGGTACCACCTCACACCAGTCAGAATGGCCATCATTAAAAAGTCTACAAATAACAAATAATGGAGAGGGTGTGGAGAAAAGGGAACCCTCCTACACCGTTGGTGGGAATGTAAGTTGGTGCAGCGGTTATGGAAAACAGTATGAAGGTTCCACAGAAAACTAACAACAGAATTACCATATGATCCAGCAATCTCACTCCTGGGCATATATCCAGACAAAACTCTTATTCAAAAAGATACATGCTCCCTCCCCTATATTCATAGCAGCACTATTCACAATAGCCGAGACATGGAAACAAGCTAAATGTCCATTGACAGATGAATGGATAGATGCAGATTTGCAGCAACTTGGATGCAACTAGAGATTATCATACTAAGTGAAGTAAATCAGAAAAAGAAAAATACCATATGATATCACTTATATGTGGAATTTAAAATATGACACAAATGAACCTACTTATGAAACAGAAGCAGACTCATAAACATAAAGAACAGACCTGGTTGCCAAGGGGGAGGGGGCTGGAGAGGGATGGAGTGGAAGGTTGGGGTGAGCAGGCGTAAGTTTTAATATACAGGATGGATAAACAACAAGGTCCTACTCTATAACACAGGGAACTGTATTCAATATCCTATGATGGAGAAGAACATTTAAAAAAAGAATGTATATATATGTATAACTAAATCACTTTGCGGTACCGCAGAAATTATCACAACATTGTACATCAACTATACTCCAATAAAAATTTTTAAAAAGAGAAGTTCCGGTTACTCAGATTTTCTGAGTAAAACTACATTAGCCACGAATATATAGCCTGAGACCAATTTAGTTTTCCTTCTACCTAATTCTTCGGGAGTAACCTGAGTTTCTGATCTGTGCTCTTCAGAGCTGCTCAGTCACCTGCCATCTTTTTTCTAATCTTTATTCTTCCTCTTGAGGAAAAGTAAAAAGAAAGGAAAAGGACTTGACGTAACACAATTTTATCAACTGCCCCTCTAGCAAGTAATGGACTATACTTGCTAAGCAGGATTACTCTAGCAAGTGCACAGACATTCATAATAAATAATTCTGTCACTCAGAAGCATGAATGTCACAATGATTTTTCTTACTTGCCTGGGTATAAAGCATGTTTTCCCTTTTGCTTAGGTTATTAGGAAGCTAAAAGGTACACTTAGGGCTCACACATAGCTAACTCAATCTGTTGTTAATTCTTTCTTATAGCTTATAAACAAGTTTCTTATATACATATTTTTAACTGTTCAGGTTATTTCCTAAAGTTTAGTACTATAACACTTCTCGAAACACTTTTCCAGTAAGAAAACAAAAGTAATAAATACAAATTACTTGAACAGATTTCCTATAAGGTTTCAGAGTACTTTCTCCAATAATGTCCAAATTTTTCTGCTCATTTATTCTGTTTTAAATGATCTCACATACCTTGAATTTTCATCTTCTTGAAAATGATGTGCTCTTAATTGGGATGCCACAAACAAGGATGAAGCTATTGCCAATAACTGGTTTCTCTCATTCTCTGTTAACTGGTGTCCTGAGGGAAATCAATCAATCAGTCAATCAATCACACACATAATGCTAACATCTATATTACAGAGTTATTAGTCATTCAAACAAGTATTTTATCAAGCATCTCTTATGGAGCTAGTGTTGTACCAGACACTGGGCTGTGCCAGAGGGAAAGGAGGGAGCAAGATGGTTCAAATACCCCTGCTCACTGGAAGTTTATAGTCCAATTTGGGAAAGAAGATGTTAAACAGATGCACAGAACAAAACAATTGCAAATAAGAAAACTACTCCCAGAGATCTCTGGGAAAAACTTAGGGCTCCTCATATCTGCTTCTCCTTATCACTCCCCACCCCAAATTTTACTTCTAAGGAGAGAGAGGATAAAATGAGGAAAAGGAGTGTTGCCGGTCAAGGACAGTGGTTGGGCCATGTTTTCTAATGTGAAGGACTAAAAGAAAATAATAAATACATGATCCTCTTGCCTCTATACTTACAGTCAGGGTTTGAATCCCAGTCAATCAACCAAACAACCAATCGATTTCTCTCTCCCTCTTTAATTCACTCTTCTTACCATAATACGGCTGGACCTGGGGGCAGTGGTCTAGCCTGACAAACCCAGGGAAGACTCCCTGGTCTGGCTGAGTGTGGTGCAGCGGGGAAATCTGCTCTATGTGCATAATAATTCCTCAAGAAGTGTGTGAATCAAGGCAGAACTGGATACTCCAGGGTGTGCCAGCTAACACATCCCCTTGAGTGCTCTGTAATCTCACCACAACTTCTAACACTATTTATTTACTACCATGCTATATATAGATAATAGAGTTTATTAGATGGTACAGTATAGGCAATTTGAGTGCTGGATCATCAGCACTAAGATGTTACTTGTACAATTCAAAAAAGAAAAAACTATCAGGTAGTTATTTAAGTTTATCGGAAAGAAATGAAGTAATTTCAACACTATGTCTTAAAAAATTATTCAAAACAGAAATAAGACTAAAAATATTCACAACTAGAATATAAAGACTTTCCAGATCGGCAGCACATTTTTCTACGGAGAGGTGTTCCATGAAAATGAAAGGTGCAGTGTTTCATGACACTAAAGGGTTAGGAAAGCCCCAATGACCCAGGGTTAGGAAAGCCCCAGTGACCCATTCTTCGAGACAAACCTAGGAGCACCATAAAATATAACACCAATGTGGGACGTCTCGTTGGTCTGGGAATTCAGTAACAGAACCCTCAGTGGCCTAATAAACCACATTCCCACAGGCTTTGAAAAGTTCCTAATCATCCCCAACACTGAAGCAGTGATGGAAACATTCCATATGCTTCCATAATAAACTACCCTACATGAGGATTACAGAAATTTGGTCTCGGTCTTCTCAAAAACATACCATCTACACAAGAGCTGTTCTCAAAGTATGGCCTGGGGATTACTGGGAGTCCCCAAGAGCCCCTTGTGAACCTAACTGGAATTATATAATTCTTCAGTAATTTCCTCAAAAAGTATTTTCTTCAGTAATTTCCCTTTTCGAGGAAATCTCTTTTCACATTGACACATGAGGGATATCTTAGTTGGGTATAGTACTCTTGGAACAAGTTCTTTCTTATGGAACAGATACTCAGTTTAAGGTTTTCTAATCTCCAGTTTATAGAGTCTGAAGATGATTTCATTCTACATTCTTTGCATATAACTTTTTTCTTTCTAGAAGCTGTAAAAAGTTTTTTTGTTCTTGATAAGCCTAGAATAGTTACTCTTTTTCATTAATCCTGTCTGAAACTCAGTGAGTCTTTCCAACAACATCTCAAGTCTTTCTTAAGAACAGTGAAAAAAAAAAATCTCCCTTATTATTTCTTTTAAAATTAACCTTTCCTTGTCGATTTTATTTCATGAAACCCTTACTATTTACACGTACAATCTCTTGGCACTTCTCTCTACATCTCTCATCATTTCGCACATTTCATTCTCTCTACCTTTCTGCTACATATTTTGAGATACTTCTTCCATGTATTTTTTTGGGTCACTGTAATTTTGTTCTTCGCAGTCCTTTCACTTTGCTGAAATGTTTCATTTCTAAAACTCACAGTTTTTTGTACTCCTGTAATACCTTTAAGTGTTCTCACAATTCTTCAGTCAGCACAGTCATCTCCCTCCCATACCTGCAGGTCTAAAACTGAATACTTGCTGTCTTCAGGGATTCTTCTAGGTCTCCCTCCCTAGATAGGTAATCTTCTTCCTTTGTATGCAAATGACTCTGCTTGCTCCCAATAGTCAGGTCAAAGTATAGGCGGGGGTTTGCTGGTAAATGTTTAATAACCAACTGGGATGTGAAGGAAGAAGTGCGGTAGTGTGCAGCATTTGCCAATTTCCTTACTGTAAGTACTTTCTCCAAGGCTGATTTCAAACCACCAACGTCACATCAAAAATAGATTAGGAAGAGATACACACAGTGGCTCTCCTGAGGCAGTATGACAGCCCCTGCACCTACGGAAGAGAGTCCTTGGAGAGGTGTTTCAATAGTCTACACCACCTCGTCCTTGAAGCCATCCTTGATTCCCCAAATTGCAACTAGTTTCTTTTTTCTCCGCTTCAAGACACTTTGCTTGTATTTTCACTTTAGCACTTCTTTTATTCTGTCCTGTAGTGTAGTTAGTTCTTTACCTGTTTATTTCCCTAATGATAAAACCACTTTAAGGACAGGGAAAATATATTATTTCTCTTTGATTTTCTTCTAGAGTCTACACCAATTATTTGTTGAATGATTTTAAAGACTGAATTTTTAAAGGCAACACTTCAGTCACATATTTACCACTTTTAAAGGTACAGAAATACTTGACTAAATTCAAAGGGAAAAAATAAAGAGAAGTGTAATTAATAGTAGACTTCTTGTGCTAAATCAAAGTTGTCTAAACATTCCACAACGAAGAGAAAGATAATTCTAATGATTTCTTTTGATGGGGCTGGTGGTTCAAGTGTAGCAAGGCAGCAAAGAATTAAGTCCAAAATGTCCATTCTAGGCTATCTGAAATTATACTTCTTAAAATATCTTCTTCTTCAATTTTCCCTTTATTTCAAAATCAAAATATCTACTTCTCCATTTTCCATTTATTTTTCAGAATCAAAGGAAAATACCTTTTCAACATCAGCATCTAATAAGTTGACGCGAAGAACAAATTCTTGTGTATTCTATTTTTAAAGTTTAGACACAATCATTTCAAGGTTCAGTCTAAGAGACTTTAGTAACACTGCCCTAGTCTACAAATAAACTTGGGATAATATACATATATAATAAAAAATTTAATGCAGTCATAAAAACAGGCACTTGCCTATGAATAGTGTCTAGGATAGCTGGACAGATGGGAAGCAGATGGGTAATCCCAAAGGGGCAAAATGACTCAGCCTCAAACATATGGATAAGATCCTGGATTAACTTCAGTTGCCACTTCCTGCTGTCTCTTTCAGGCACGTATATCAAACAATCAAAGATGATACAGTTTAATATATCTAAGACATGCTCTGGGGAAAAATCGGGAAGGAGAAATACAGTAATCTGAAGAAGAAGAACAAGAGGTAGTAGCCATTCAGAGAAGAAAGAACTGACATGAAAATAATATGAAGGAATAAAATAAGCAGTAGACATTAAGAATGGCAAATATAGGTATGTACTTTAAAATTGTCATATCGTACATATTGTACAGACAATATGACACATACAGCATACTCTGAAAACTTCTGTGGTTTATGAATTTGAATCCTAGCACAACTGAATGAGTACTGAAACAGAAGTTGAAACCACTAAGTTAAACACTAAGTTTAATTTCTGGCTTTATTATATTACTGGTCACTTAGCCTTATCAGTCTTTCCGGGCTTTGGTTTCCTCACATGTAAAATGAAGGGTGAGACTAAAAATTGCTAAAGGCCTTCTAACAACTTATAACAATTAAAAAATTGTTATGCATAAGAAACAGAATTATGGTGTCTGTGCTGGTAACTGCCTGCCAAAAAAAGAAATGTAATATTTAAGTTTATTACAGCAAACTGCAATATTCAGTTTTAAGAAAATTTCTGAGTTCTCTTCAGAATTTGGAACATTTTCAATTGCTGCTAAATGTATAGCACATACTACCCAACTCCAATTAGAAATTTTAAATGCTCCATTTTCTTTTCCATGGTAATGGGATATAATACCAAATACGCATAAACACATGTATAAATGTGTGTATGTATATATAAATACCCATGCACACATACAATATGTGTGTTCTAAAGGTTCCCTTAAGTTTTTTGTTTTGTTTTGCGGTACGCGGGCCTCTCACTGTTGTGGCCTCTCCCGTTGCAGAGCAAGGCTCCGGACGCGCAGGCTCAGCGGCCATGGCTCACGGGCCCAGCCGCTCCGCGGCATGTGGAATCTTCCCAGACCGGGGCACAAACCCGTGTCCCCTGCATCGGCAGGCGGACTCTCAACCACTGCACCACCAGGGAAGCCCTCCCTTAAGTTTTGACCTGTTCTCTCCTTCTGCCTACTGTTTCACGTAAGCCAGGCAAACACAAAAGCACATGGAAATCTGAGTCCATTTCACAACCGACAATAACTTTTAATTAAAACTTTGGAAAGGACAAGAAGCCAAAATGTTAGGATCAAAATAAAACCAATTTGTAATCTGGACACGTGTACAGTTAAGTAAAAATAGTCAAGGTAATACCTTCTCACCCATACTATGAACAAGGTTCTTTTCCCTTACTGAAAACCATTGAATTGTACACTTTTAAATGTATGGTATGTGAATCATATCTCAGTAAAGCCATGATAAAAATAAAAAGAATCATCTAAATCAAAAAAAATAAAAAAGATTCTTTTCCTTAATTCAACAAATATTTAATGTGTTTTAGTTGCTAGTGAAACAATAAAAAGCAATAACATTAAGTGGTTCCTGGCTTCATGCAACCAACAGATATTAATGAAATAATCACACAAGAACAAAAGTGCAATCATGTTAAGGTTGTCATTTATATTTTAAAAAATTCAAAAATTCAGGAAGAAGAACCTGATGATTCATTAGTCTCTGTTTTAAGTTCCGAAATAAAACACATTCTTTATTTTTCTTGGTACTAATGATAAAGCCCTGTAACACTAAAGTTGTGAAAGAACAATCAAATCAGTAATCTCGTTATTCTTATGAAAACTCTGTATTATAAATTCTGATGTAATAAGTTGCTTTGTAAATGTATTCAGTGAAGCTGACCTGAATCTGTATACAGCTCCTAAAATGAAGGAGCCGTTTTATGTACTAAAACACTTTAAATGGATATAAAGAACACTTAAAATTTGTGAGAGGAGACCTAATCTTCATATGTCCCCAAGCTCATTAGAACTATATGTAGAGGGCTTCCCTGGTGGTGCAGTGGTTGAGAGTCTGCCTGACGATGCAGGGGACACAGGTTCGTGTCCTGGTCCGGGAAGATCCTGCATGCCGCGGAGCGGCTGGGCCCGTGGGCCATGGCTGCTGAGCCTGCGCGTAACATTTCTGGTAAGTCTCACGTTAGGTCCTGTCAGTGTCTTAACACCATGTTAACCACATTTTCAATGTGCACTCGAGGGTTTTCTCTGTCTCTCACTTAATGAGCAATTTTTCTACTACCTGGAAACACTCACTGATAACTTTGCAGTGCTAAGTTTCACAGTCCACTCATTACTTTATTCAAAACTCATTTTTCAGAATAAAGCCATCATCTTCTTAGACATCTCCATTTTCATTAATAGGAATAGCACCTAGTAGTCTGAAATTTTCCATGCTAATTTTCATAAAGATACACTTTTAATATTAAAGAGTTCCTGTATACACTCCTATAAGCAAGGAATACAAACATGTATTGACTTTCAGAAACACAACATGCCACATACTAGTTGAATTTCTCACTCAACAAAATTACAGATTATTATACATTCATGAGTCACTCATGAATACTCAAAATCATGAATGTCTATAGTCTAGGATACTCTAAGTATATCAATAAATCAAGTACAATATAGGCCCAAGGCCCTAATTTCAGAATAAAGTATACACTGCAATAAAGTATAAAAAATAACTTTAATACACTAAAATACTTCAATATATACAAACCTTTAAAGCCATCAGGATACACATCAGAAAGAAATTTAGTGTTGATGTCTCCTTTTACAAAGCGTGAGTTGATTATCACCTCTCGAAGTAATGCAATATTATGTGTAACACCTAAAAATAAAATAACAGGCTGAATTAAAAACAATGAGTCTGTTAAAAATCTAATTCCTATTATCTGGAGAATTTTATCATCAGTGTCCTATGGCCTAGCAAAAAACCATGCAAGATTACTCACCTCCTTGATTTCAACTGACAACAAAAAATGTCTGAACTTGAGGCAGCAATAAAACTCTGAATGCAAATTTAAGAAATTCAGTGGGAAAATCAATGTATTTTCAATAAATGTTAGAGCTACTAGATACACATTTGGAAAGTGAACCTCAACCCTAATTCACAGCATACATAAAAATTGACTCAAATTGGGTCACAAAACTAAAACTATAAGACTTATAGAAGGAAATCAGGAGAAAAATCTGTTACCCTGAGGTAGGGAACAGATTCTTAGATAGTACACAAAACCCATGAACCATAAAAAGAATATCAACAAATTATACTCCATCAAAATTTAAAAGTCTGCTCTTCAAAGGATGTAATTAAGAAAATGAAATGGCAAGCCACAGAGAAAATATTCACAACACATATCTCAAATAAAGAACTTCTATCTGGTATATATAAAGAATGCTAACAATATAAAAATAAGATGACAAGCAAACCAGGTGAGAAAAGATAGGCAAAAGATCTAAGGAGACATTTCACAAAATATATACAAATGGCCAGTAAGCACAGGAAAAGACATTCAACATCACCGTCAAAGAGATACAATGGGATATACCCAAACACCAATTTAAGTGGTTAAAGGTTAAAAGACAGATAATACTAAGTGTCGGCGAGAATGTGGAACAAGTGGAACTGTCACCACCTGTGTGGGTGACAGGGAATAAATTGGTAGATTTTACAGTTTACTTCCACTTTGGACTGTCTGGCAGTTTCTTTAAAAGTTAAACATACACTCACCATACGATTCAGACAATTCACTCCTAAGTATTTACCCATGTTAAAATAAAAGCACATGCCTATACAAACACACACAGAGGTTAGCAGCTTTATTTGCAAAGTCAAAAACTGGAAACAATCTAAATGTCCATCAACAGTGAATGGATTAACAAAATGTGGTTTGTCCATATAATGGAAATCTACTCAGCAATAAAAGGAAGTGGGTCCCCCAATACACATAACAAGGATGAATCTCAAAATATTATGCTGAATTAAAGAAGCAAGACCAAAAACAATGCATACTGAATGCAACCTACAGAAAGTGGATCATGTGGCTGCATTAGGACAGGGTCGGAGAGAGGGTGGACAGGCAAAGGCCATGAGGAAACTTTGGGAGATGACAAAAATGTTCAGTATTTTGATTGTGGTGATGGTTTCACAGGTGTATACATGCATATGTCAAAGCTCATCAAATTGAATACTTTAAATATGAGTTTATTATATGTCAAGTGTACTTCAAAATAAGTAGAAAAGGAGAAGGGGGGCTGGGGCAGGGGGCGGGGGGCAGGGGCGGTGGGACGGGAGGGGAGGAGGGAAAGGGAGAGGACAAAGAGGACGAGAAGAAGAAAAAAGCCTGTGATCAAGTAGGAAAAACTGAGCCTAGTACACAATGACTATTCCAAAGTAAAGTTTAAATAGGTAACTACCACAAGAGGGATATGAATGGTATGAGGAGGATTCTGTGATATAGAAAGACTTTATGAAGGGGGTAGATTACAAAGATATTAAATAGGAGTAAAAGGTAAAGCAAAGAGGCATCTCAAAACCAGGGAAAGCAGGAATTAGAGTAGGTGTCCACTAGAAGGGTGACTGGAGCATAAGAGAGCTGAAGTTGAAGTAAACAGAGAGGTTGGCTAATTCCTTCCAATTCTTTAACCCACTCTTGCATAGTTCTAATTTGTACCACTATACTTCGTAACAAACCTAGAAAGCCTGATTCTGTTCTTGCTTGTTCTTGATCTGATTCAAGTCTTATAGAATCCTCACTTATACAAGAATAATTACAAAGTAAGCAAAGAATCACTCAGGTTCAAGTACCTGATCTACCTCTCACCTTGAGTAAGCTATTTAAACTCTCCAAGTTTTAGTTTCCTCATTTGTGAAATGGTGATTTATTATCACCAGTCTAGTTAGTATAATTTGTCATGAGGTACAAATGAAATAATGTTTAACACAATGCCAGGCACTCAAAAAGGTAAATTATTATTGTGCTCATTATTATCCTTTTATATGAGAGTAAATATAGAACAGAAGACAACATGTAATAAACAAACATCAGACAGAAGCTGTACAGCATCCTAAGCCTCAGCACTGACCTACCTACCTACCTTCTAGTTAACACTCTGTAAGAATGCAGCTCCACAAATTTAAGCTTACCACTATTTCCATCTGGAGGGTGTATCCATCCTATAAGGCAAGGAAGGATCAGCGAACTATGGCTTGCAGGTCAAATCGTAAATAAGGTTTTATTGAAACCCAGCAGTGTTTATATACGGTTGTCTTCATGCTAAACAGTAGAGCCCAGTAGTTGCAACAGAGACCATGTGACCCACAAAGTCTAAGATATTTATTCTCTGGCCCTTTACCAAAAGTCTGCCACATCTGCTGCGAAGTTTTAACAATGCTGATGTTCTGAGCAGATTAATCTCTCTCTCTCTCTCTCTCAACATTTTCTCCACACCTACTACTCATGCAGGAGTTAGATATCACAGGAAGGAACACGAAAGCAAACAGTATGGTATACATGCTTTGGGGGAACTTTCAGTAACCAGTTATAGAATAAGAATATTACAAGGCAAAAGGAGACAAAAATAAGAAAATTGTGATCCAAAGAGACTGAATCATTCATCTGATGTTTAGTACAATATAAGTTACAACAGTAATATAGGTAAAAAAAAAAATTTTTAATACAGAAGTATATTGTGACAGGCTGCAGGTTTCCTCTAAAATTTGCTTTTTATTTTTTCCACAATAGAATTTTAGCTGAACAAAAGACCATCCAGACACAGACTCCATTTCCCCATCTATCTTATAGCTAGACATGACAAACCAATTTCTAGACAAGAGACTACAGTTAAAGTGTTGTATCCGACTCCAGCCCCATTTACATGAAAAAAAGAGCTGCCAGAACTTCTTTTCCTTCCCTTTTCCTAAGGGCTTCCTGATACAGCAGGAACTCAGCTTTGGCAATGCAGATGAAGAGGAGCAACAGGGTAAGTGTGGGGATGAGCAGAGGGGGAAGAGACAGATGTGTGTGTATCTCCTGAAATGAGCACAGGAAACTAACTCACCCCATCAGCACGGACCAGCCAGACCATTAAGGGAGAAGTGAATAAATTTCTATCGCATTTATACCACTGGATTTAAGAATCTTTGTTACAGCAGTTACCCTGTACCCTAATGTGTACATATGGGGGAGAAGGTCATACTTTTTGATATGACTTCCTATCTCTGAGCCAACAAATGTTAACAAGTTAATACAGCCTTCCAGGTATTTTTCTATGCATCCCTTTGTACTAGACCATACTAGCAACCATATGAAAAATTCTGAGCAACTCTCTTCCTGACTCAGAAGATATTACATGTCTAAAATTTTATAAAAGCCAATTTTCAATCTATTCAAACTACTTCAAAACATTTAGAGAAAGTTCCAAAATTCAAATTTTAATGCTATTCCTTTAGCTACACAAATATTCCATGGGAGAAGTTATCCTAGACAATGATCTAATAAATATCTTTCACAGCACATGCCCAGGAGAAATGCACAGTTATCCCAACCTTGCTTTGTGGATAATGACTTGGCCCATATTCAATGACTAACATCTTGAAGGACTTTTGTAATTATGTATATTTCTAAGAGGAATTACTGAAAGGCATAAAAACTTCTGACTGCATCAATATATCTAACAAATCATTGCAAAAATTTGACATTTGCCTATATTATAGGTGATATTTTGATAGACAAAAATGAAGAGCAATTAATTAAAAGCAAAGTGTTAGGATGCTTAGAAAGACAAACCAGGTAGGCAAGAATTTAAATAGAATATTCCTTGAAAAGAGTTCAGGCTATAAAAGGGAAATGAATCCCTCTGTCATATGTTTTACAAACAGACAAAACTAAACCACTTTAGAAGAAGAAAAGAGTTATAACTCGCCAGAGAGATTTATATGCATAGTAAATGACAGATGTGTTGTTCCAGGAAGAGGAAAGTATTTGTGACTTACACAAACTTTCCTGGCTGGGAAAGAAAATAGAGAAAGATGCAGAAGGACACAAAGATGGGTAATATTAGGGAGGAACTTAAAGTATCTAAGACCTTTCATTGTGGTAAAAAGTAAGTGGATACCACCAGGTATTTCTATGAAGAGGATTGAAAGAAGGACACCATGGCCAAAGTGTATGAGCAAAGAGAACGGTGCACCGGAAAAGTCAAACAGGGGCATTCAGGGTCTGACAGCCATGCAAATATTTCACTTTACCTTGAGAGCACCCAGAGTGGTTGAAACCGGGTAGACATGACTAGATTTGTGCATTCCAGGAATCTCTGGCTGCTACTGCAAAAGGGATTGGGAAGAGTCAAGACCGAAGATGGGAAGAAGCAAGCTGACAACTGCAGGAGACAAGCTGAAAATGGTCAGGCCTCAGACCACAGCTAGGGAGTGGACAATACAGAAGGAGAAAAGCAGCCAGAGTTGAAAGATATTTGGGAGGCAAACAGGGCTTGGTGATTCAGTGGACATAAGGATGGGGGAGGTGAGTCAAGTGTCAACACCCGAACTTCTGGCTCTGCAACAACACTGGAAATAGTATTTACAGAAAAGGAAAAGGTTGAAAGGATAAAAACCTGATGCATCTTTAGCAAGTTAAATTAGAGATGCCTGTGAGATGAGACTGATAATGTCTAAATGATTAGAGTTCAGACTAGCATGCAGATTAGAATGTGTATACATCAGAATATAGGGGTCATGGAGGTGGACATTCACATGAAGAAATCCAGAACAGAATGTGAAACACAGAAATGCAAGACAAATCCAGCAATGTGTGAATTATCTGTATA